CATTTGATTGTATTCCTGATGATTTCAGAGAAAACTAACGTGATAATGTTGACCATATGCTTTTTGAGTTTAAAATAAAACTGAAAGAAAGGTTCAGCTGCCTGTGACTCATATTAAGTTATAGTAGTCACACTTTGCCCCCGACTTATTTACTGTAATTGAAGGTGTGTACAGGATTGCACATGACTGAATGAAATCACATGAATGAATGTGGAGTGACAGCAGATCCAGACAAGCAGGATTTCATCAGTGCACACGGCCTGCTGAGCACAAATGCTGATGCCACAATCCATAGGAATATATTTCACTCAAGAGCACTGAAGGGTTTTTGCTCATTTGAATTAACACAGATGACCAGCTTTTTTTTATGCTCGAAGAGTTAATTGTTTTTAGTTATGATAATTGCAACAAAAATCTAGCGTAGTGTTAGTTCTGGCAGGTCACGTTAGTCAAGCTCGCATCAGCTGACTCTCAGCTGATCCCCATCAACCTATGGGAATACGACACCTATCTAAGTATTCATATATAAGGTCCCACAGTATTATCAGCAGTTTTCGCATTGCTCAATAGCTAATTACCCTTCTCCATCCCCAGCTCCTCCTCTGTCAGTCAGGGTTCAGCCTTCTGATTCTCCTTTGAATCAGACTAATTCTAAAATGTGTACAAAACATTATTGAACTTTAACGATATCTGCAATACATTTATGTTGGTTCTGTTCTGTTTACCCTGGGTGGGGTTATTGCTGCTCTCCCTGCTCTCATCCATGCTAGGCTGCATGGAGGCACAGGGAGTTCTTGCCCAGAACGGAACCATACCGCCAATCCAAACTGTATGCTAGTTGTCAATCATCTTTGACCATAGTGGTCCTGACAGAAAACAAGTTAAGATGTATTCTGGCTTAATCTTCTCACGAGCAATGTAGTCCTACACATACAATATAAACCTGAACTGACTGCTGTAGGTGCCAATTGTGACAATTTACCCCGTGACATCATGCCACGCAACACAAAAAGTGTGCTCAATTAACTGTATATTTCATTTTGGGCAACAACGGCGAAAATGTTCAACTTTTTTTTTTTTTGTAGCCAAGACTTACAGGTTTGTGTCTATACAGAAAAAGAAATGAGCAAAACAAACCTACCGGGAGAAACATTCCAGGGAGTGTGTGACAACTAGCCCCGGTTTCCTCTTTATATTGGGCTTCAGAGAGTGACTCAAAGCAAGAGCGTTGCAAAGGGATAGAAGACAACATCGCCATCTACTGGCAGGACGCATTTAGCTCGACTGACCAAGAGTGACAGACACTAATATGATATTTATGTCTGCCACTAGGGGGCGGTGTCCGTAATATGAATTTCTCATGTTACAATACCACACGGTCCAAATTTGACTGGTTTCAAATTTTCTTGTTGGATCCAAACATTTATGTATGTATGTATAGCCTATGTATGTGTGTAGGCTAGTCATTTATTCAAAGCTTGTGTTCAAAGCTTAATCACTTATACAATTTCATAGATTAATAACATTCTAGATTTTGTTTTTTAAATTTAATATTTAATTTTCGTTCACATCTGACACATTAAATTAAATTAAATGATTAGAATACACAATCAGGGTATCTTCCGTCCATTCCAAATCCGTTTTCAATTAAAAAACAGAAAACGAAAAATGTAATCGTTTTTCAATTTATTATTACATAATTGTTACAGATTCTAAGCATATATAGTCATATATGAAATAAATTAAAAGTCATACTTTGTTGTTTTTTTCTCGCTATGTAGTGGGTTACTGCCACGTGGAAGTAAACAAACATTATGAGACATGGTAGGCTATATCAAACGTAGCCTATTTATCATAAACCGTGGTTTTTCCATCTGATAGTGATACCATCACTAAATCACATAACTATAGCTACCCACAAAACTAAATCAAGGAGCCAATTTCAGAACATAAAACATAGCTTTGCGAAACAGTGACTGAATGCTACTTAAGCCATTCTTAGCACCTCAAGTGTGTCTTGGTGAACCGTCCCTTCGTCTGGAATGTGATTTTAACTCACCACAACAACCACAATTGAACTGTCCTGGTCATCTTGAAATTATGGGCTTCAGCAGTTTACTTGAGAGCAGACCATGAGCAATGCTATTTGGCATCCTTACACAGTTAGGGCTGCTCTGTACTTGCTCCAAATTTTGTGTAAATATATGCTGCATAACAGCCAGACAAAATTATGCCTGCTCTCCTCAGGCCCTGGTATAAAGGCATCCAGTTAAAATTGCTGTGTAAAGACACCTAACTGCCTGGACATCAGAAGATAAACAAGTGATAGGCAGAGCTGGGTAGTACCTGATTACATGTAATCTGGATTACATTACATTTTTAATTAGATTACATTTTAAAATACTCGCAATCAGAATACAGTTACTTTTTTATTGATTACATGATTACATATAATTCACTCAATAGCAATAAATTATTCAGAATTTATCGATTCTCCCTAATTCTACTTTTTCATCTTTTAAATGTTCCTAGCCTACCACTTATATACACTCAGAAAGTCTTCCAGGTCTCTGACATTGGTTAATGGTCAAATGACATGCAGATAAACAGTAAGTTTTTTAGTAAGTGTTTTGATCGATGTTATATTACAATGATTTATTTTAATTGGACATTTTTATGATTTAATTATTAGCTTTTCATTAAACTCACAACCCCCCTGCAGTTATTTACGAACCCCAGTTTGGGAAACATTGATGTAATGTTAATGCACTTCACGTTGTTAATTACAACAAATGGAATATATTTTCATACTCTTTGCATTTTTATATCAATATGGTACAAAATTCAATCTACCCAGGTTAAAAAAGTACACTTCCATAAGTGCTCTATTTCCGCGCACTAATTTTTTTTACTAAAAATGATTCTTTACTTCTTAAGATAAATTAAGATCAACTAAGTGTACTCAACTGTGCTATTTTGGGACACCATGAATATGAAATAAAACCCGCTTTTAACATACCATCTCTGTATTTTTAAAAAATGTATTTAGTTACCACTTGTAGTAGCCTACACTTGAGTATACTAGTGTAGCCTATGAAAGATGGGTTCAAGTGTACTACAAGTAGCATAGTTGAGTACACTTAGTTGATGTAGGTTTATTTTAAGAAGTACTAAAGAATCATTTTAGTAGCTATATTGAGTACAAAATTAGTGCGCAAAAATAGAGCACTTCAAGTACATTATGGATACTTTTTTTTAACCTGGGCTACTTAAATCAATGTGATAGCCTAAACGAGTTAGGTCAAAGGTAATCTAAAAGTAATCAGAAAGTAGTCCAATTATATTAGGATACCTAAAATGTGTAATGTAATGGATTACGTTACTAACTACAATTTTTGTCATGTAATTTGGAATAAGTGACGGACTACAATTTGTAAGTATAATCTACCCAGCTCTGGTGATAGGCTACTTGACCAAACCAGTTTGAACGTTTTGTTACGTAGGCCTACAGAATAGGCTAATATTTAATGTGTTCACTTGCTAGACACATGTAAGGAATTGAGAAGAAAGAAGATTCTTCAAATTGGTCTCCAGATATCTGGATGGTAAAAGCGTCTATAAGCTAACACACACTTAGCTTTACATTTGCCATCCCTGGACACGTCTATGTGTGTTTTAGTTGAATTAGTGGGTCACTCCGTCTCCGTGAGGCCTAATTGCTCCTTCCTTGGCAGCCGTCGGCATCCCAGGGGCCAGGGAAACCCGTAACCTACCCTCCATGCCGTTTGCTAATTGAAATAGCTAATGAGATCTCAGAGGACCGACTTTCCAAGCCTCTTCGTTAAAAACAGTGGCAGTGTGTCAAAACACGTATAATTGTGCTGTAAACACGTGGAAATATTTAATTCTGGACACGGCTTTTACAATTGTGACCGAGTTTGCAAACTTGCTTATTTACAGCCTTCTAAAAACAGTATGTTCCCATGTCCTCATCATCACAGAAAGCTGACTTTAAATCACTAGAACATTTGGTTACATTTCTATCTTACAAGCCTGTCAATAAAGAAAACCACAGTGTAATCAAATAATGTCTGTTCTAAACACCATTTGCCAGATCAACACACAACTGACAGTGAAACCACAGTATTAAAAAAAGAAATATATGGATTTCAATTTTTTTCTTCGCAATAACCAACTGAACCGAGCACATTCAAACCAAAAACATATTTTTAAAAAAGTAAATAAGGTAAATTTTGATTTCACCTTTACCTTAAATGTTTATTTGTGACCCTGGACCACAAAGTCATAAGTAGCACGGGTATATTTATAGCAATAGTCAACAATACATTGTATGGGTCAAAATTATCCATTTATCTTTTATGCCAAAAATCATTAGGGTATTAAGTAAAGATCATGTTTCATGAAGATATTTTGTAAATTTCCTACCGTAAATATATCTAAACTTAATTTTGATTAGTATTATACATTGCTAATAACTTCATTTGGACAACTCTAAAGGCGATTTTCTCAATATTTAGATTTTTTTGCACCCTCAGATTCTAGATTTTCAAATAGTTGTATCTCAGCCAAATGTTGTCCTATTCTAACACACCATATACATCGATGGAAAGCTCATTTATTCAGATGATGTATAAATCTCAATTTAAAAAAATTGTCCCTTAGGACTGGTTTTGTGGTCACATTTTTCATTATTTTGCTCTCCCAGAGTACTTTTACCAAGATAACGTCATAGTGTGCAACAACACGTTGCACTTTTTTATTTGAGAAGCTGTGTTTTACACCAACAATGAATTATATAATTTAGTTTGTGCACATCATTAGTGCCAGCATTTCACACACACCACTTCACGAGCCCTAATTAGATAAATGAACACTGTCAGTGTGTGTGATACTGGCTCTATTCAGAAGATCTATGTTGCATTATTCAGCCAGTCATCACATGCAGCTTCTTCTCCCCCCCAAAAAAACACAATGCAGCCTTTAGAAATAACTTGAGGTTTATTAGCTATGGAGTCTTAGGAGAGTCACACACACAGGGTTAGGAACAGGATGAGGTGGTACCAAAAGAAAGAAGAAAAATAAAAGAAAAAAAGGGAGAGAATGCAGTAATGAAAAATCAAACTCCTAACTACCATTAGATTGAATTGAACTAAAACTACAAATTGTATTTTGTCAAGTACGGCTTAAAAAAAGAAAAGAAGAGAAACCTTTATACATTTGTCTTTTATACAAGTAGCAACATTGGAGAATCACGTTGGAAAAAGGCAATTTACAAAAAACAAAAATACACTTTGTTTCAAAGAGAAAAGAAAAATAGAGTGGTGGTCAAATATTGACCAATAATTATTCCTTTTCATTCTATCTTAAAAATTTGGTCTAATATCTATAAAAATGTAAAAAACAAAGCAATATACAAGTGTAAAAAGTTTGTCGTTTTTTCCATTCACTCCACTGATCTGGTGACCAGAGAGAGAGGTTGTGTCTGCAGCAAGGCATGATGGGAATGTAGGGCTGCGTGGTGGAAAGGCGAGGACGGGGAGAGCAGGGAGGGAGGCAGGGTGCTGAATGGTATGGGGCGGGTCAGGAGGGCCGCCGACTGGCTGTGGAGGGAGATGCTCGGATGGGAGACGGTGGAGGTGGACGAGGAAGTGGAGCTGGAGCCCGAGGCTTTCCCTGGCAGGGGGAAGTGGGGGTGGTGGGCTCTGCCCTCCGGTTTGGTGGTGAGGGACAGGGGTTGAGCCTGCTCCGAGTGAGTGGCCGCAGGGGCCGCCGGTGAAGCCAGGGCAGCAGACGGTGTGGCGGGCGAGTCCAGCATGCTGCCGTGAGAGGAGGTAGGGCTGTCGCACATTTTCTCAGACGGCAGGTACGAGACGCACTGCTTCTTGGGCTGGGGTGAGAAGTTACCTGCAGATGAGAGGGAAACAGGGTTAAATATACTCCCAAACATTCTGTTAACAAATGGTGAATGAAAACAAAATTAAAAATGGCCATTATGATGATAATTAAACTAAATTAAATCAAAAATAGTTAATTACTACAAGCTGGTAAATGTAAAATGTTGATATGTTTAAATCAGTGTTTTTATATATATATCAACATAACCTAAGACATGAACATATTTTAGTTTTAGGACAACTTTGATGAAAGGTTTTGATCTACTTCAAATGTTCATATATGTGTGTGTGTGTGTGTGATTTAAGATAAAAAAATTGAATGCAAATTAGAAATGTTGCCTTGACAAATAACTGAAAATAAGTTTATGCTGTACTAAAATGACTAAAACTACAACAAAAATATAAAAATAAAAAATACATATAAATAAATATAATTACAGCTTAATATAAATATTTAAAATACTAAAACTAATCTAATACTAAAGTAAAATCTGACAAAAATAAATAAATAAAAAGCTCATTCAAAATATCAATGCTATAAGAGTAATATTAAATTAACAGTGGTTTAAAATAATATATAAAATGTTTAAATATTTAATTGAATAATTATTCTTGCACTTTTTAAACAGAAAATAACATGTTCTAAAAAAAACACAAAAAAAAAAACAAAACAAATCGACTAAATTTAGACATTTCAGTCAAAAATTGACCAACATGAAAAATAGTGACTAAATTTAAAGGTTATTTTCATAAAAAATACAAAATCTATGATTAAAAATCTACTGAAAATTACTCCCATTTGCTCCCAAATGACTTCAAACACACATCCACATCCACACACACATCCACACACACACGAAAGTCAGATTTAGAAAAACATGAGAGTGAGTAAATTAATTATTCTTTGAAAAAAAGGTCCAGTTAAGAATAATAAATAATAATAAAGCTAAAATCTCCGTCATCTAACTTCTAATGTCAAAATTGAACTGAACACGATCTGTGAGCTGAATGATCAGACCAACAGGGATGCTGGGGGGAAAAAAAGCTCAAGTTCAGCAAAAGATCATGCATACAGAAATTGAGAAAGAAATACAGATGTCCAGTGACACTTACACTCTTGTGGGGAATCAGGTTTATTCTCTCTCTTCCGTTTCTTCTTCTTTCCCTGCGGACAGACATGATTTGGAGCAAATTAGATGTGTTTGCTTAAGCAAAACTCCCCTGGCTGCCAAAAACAATGGAGGACTCTGAATCCCACATGACTTGCGTTAAACTCTGCATTCTGGGCTCACTTACGTAGTTGTCTCGCGCAGACCAGCCCGGATAAAGCTGAGAGTGCAGCTGCCGTTCTTTCCTGGCGAGTTCGTAGTATTTGGCCTGTTCCTCACGTGAAAGAGAGTGCCACTGTGGAATAAAAGAACATATGGTCAAATTTCCCTCCTCTTTTCATTCCTTAAAAGGGATCGTTCACCCAAAAATGCACTTTTTGATGATTTACCCACCCACATGCCATTCCAAACCCAAATGAGTTTATTTCTCATGCACAAAAGGAAAAATTTCAGAAGCGTGCAAGTCATATGGACCACTTTTATTGTGCTTTTTGATAGCTCCGGCGCTTATTCGTTGTAATTGCATGGAATAGAGCGACCAGCACTATCTTCAGAATATCTCCTTTTGTGCTTCATACGGGTTTGGAATGACATGAGGGTGAGTAAATGATGGCAATTTTCATTCTTAGGCGAACTGTTCCTTTAAGACAAGATGAAGAGAAACACACTAATGCATCTCAGCTCCTCTCGTAATGGAGTTGCAAGCACTCACCCTCCTGCCTAGGATCTGGTTGATGGCTGCGCTCTCTTTCAGGGTGCATTCGGCCACTACTTTGGCCCTCATTTCCTTCATGTAGAGCATAAAGGCATTTAGGGGCTTCTTGATGTGAGGCTTCTTCTCTTCCTCTTTCTTCACAGGCACCGAGGGCTTTCTGTATGGACACATAGATGGATGCAAAGACGACGTCAGTTGGAGAAGAGCAGAGAAATGTCAGTGAGAGAGTAATGGAGGACAGAGACTCACCCGTGTGTCGAGTTGCTGGCGTGGTCGGCACTGGGCTCCTGTTTGATGGCAGGCGACACAATGGCGGGATGAGGGATGCCCGTCTGGTGCAGGCCATGAGGAGGATGAGGCACCATGTGAGGAGAGAAACGACTGGATACCAGACTAGAGAGAGAGAGAGACAGATTCACACTCAATAATAGACATATATAGAATAAATAAACAGATATATCAGGTATTGAAGTAGGACTGCACGATAAATCGCATTTTTAATGAGCATCTTGTCAGAAAGCCGGTTCTGTAATCAGCGGTAAATCTCCATCACCTGTGGGCTTTCACATTGAGCAGCATTAACTACACAGAGCCATTGTTCACTGACGAGCTGCGCAAAAAATCACACTGGAGCAACTATCCTAGCAGCTGAATCTGGAAAAATCTTCTACTCTGGACTTTCAGATTCATAACAGCTAATACAATAGCAGCATTGTCATTTTCACAGATCAGGGGGAAAAACTGTTCCAATCTGTGATATGCACACTCTGGTAAAACACATATTTCTACTGGATTACAGCACTTCACTGTGCCACAAAATGAACGCAGAACAGAAAGAGATCTCGCTCCTTCTACAGACCAACGAAAGGTGCACAGCCATAAGATAAGTGTGAAAGCAATAGTGGGAGATTAAAAGACAGCGAGATTTCATGCGGACGTGCGAAAACTGATCCAGGTTGCTCATCCAGCAACCTAAGGAAATTTTAAGCATTAACTGAATGGAAAGAATATGATAAAATCATGCACTAGAGAAGTTTCTATTCAGCAAGAGCTTCAGGAAGTGCTACTTTCATATAATGCCTAGCATATCTACAGTAATATGGTAAAAAGTGAGAAAAAAAACACCCTCGAGTTTCTGCAACACTTAACATTAACTAAAGTTTGGTCGGATTTGCATGCATATGACAATTTTTTAACAGCATTTTGTATACCAAATGGCACGCTAAACAAACTTTTCTGTGTTATCTAATAATTTTGTTATTAGTGTTGAACATTGGCGATTAAGTTGTACATTTATCTGAGCAAGATAAAACAAACTGTGTTGCATTTAAAAAAGATTTCCTTTCTGGAACATGGCACAGAGTTGAAAGAGAAAGAGAGGTATCAAGGCACCATTTTTGAGCAAAAAATACATCAGCAGTTTCCTGTACTAACTCTTCTCTGAGTCTTTAGGGAGGAATCGCACTGTCTGCATCTCATGTCTATTAATAGATACGAGTTTAACTATAAATCAGCATGTTGGTGCAGGAAAGAAGGTCTTGCCCTCTGTTACATACCTAGACATGGAGGCGTTCATGGCGAGTGCAGGGTAGGGGTGTCTGAAGCCCCCAGGAGGGATGGAGTACATATGTTGGCCTTGCCTGAAGATAGAAAAACAGCACTCAAACAACTGGCTAAAGCAAAATCAGGGACAAACAGATCAAGTTTTTGCTAGAAGAACTTTCAAAAATAGCAGCAAACGTCATTCAGCCATCTGCATGGGTAAAATAAGGTTGATGTTATGCATTTAAAGGCCACAGGGTTCAGACTTACTGAGGAACCAGCCATCCTAGAGGGTGAGGGATCTGTCCAACTGCCCCAGGAGAGAGAGGGTAATATGGGGACAGCTCTGAAGGGTGAGGGGTCCTTGGTATGCCTGAGGAAACCAACGCTGATTATGAAAACTGAATACAAATATTAACAAAAGTCAATTTAAGGGTGAACTTCTGTGCTGCAACTGGCACCAAATCAAACTGCAAAAATAGTCTTCAAACACTCCCCCTTGTCTACCATTGTCCTGCAAATAGGTAGTCCTGCCCCAAAAATCACACCACTGGTTTCGTCAGGCAGATAAAAAAATATGACTGCAATTCCATTTAGTGCCACTAGTGATGCCAAAAATTACACACTTCACCTGTAACTACTTCTATCCCCATATTACTGCAATAAACCCCATCAAAACAAGTCATGACTCAGCATTTTTTGGATCATACTACTCTCTCGAAGCTTTAGCAAATGCATCTGAAGATTGCTGTTGGTGGCACTTACCTGTCTTTGGGTCAAGAATTTCCGGCGAGAGGTGAGAGGGAGGCGTTCCAGGGGAGAAGTGTTCATTGCTGTAGGTGATCAGCGGCGTAAGGGGATGAACATGATGGGGGTGTTGTACAACTGGAACCTTATTGGACTGAAAAACAAAATGAGAACAAGAAAGAGGTGAGGGAGGGGGGGAATGAAATAAGTGCATGTTTAAACAACCAAAAAGAAGAAAATAGCCATTAGGCCTCATTATTCGTGAACGGCGCCAGAGAGTTTTAAAGAACAATGGGTCTCGGCAGCAGAGTTTACTTTTCCCTACTTCTCCCAAAGGAAAATAAACACCAGTTGGGCATTTGACCGGCTGCATGGAGGGTGGGAGAAATCACACCTAACACCCTTAGCAGGCATTTCTCGCGTAGCATACTAGCAACAAGAGAAAGATGTTTCCAGCTGCCACTCACCATAATTGACTCTAACACAGGCCTGACATGTGAAGGGAAGTGGCAGAGATCTTGTTTACAACACCTGCCACAAGAGGCAGCTAAAGGTGGCACCTGTTGTAACAAACCCTTCAGTGCTTAGTTTAACAGATCAGGACGACTTTTGAGATTGTTAAGGCGGCACAATTTTGGAAACCGATAGGCAAGCCCACTCCTGGAAAAGCTACCATTCTGCAGAGTTTAGCACCAACTCCAAATAAACACACCTTAAGCAGCTAATCTGGGTCTTCAGGATTACTTAAAATCTTGTTGGAGCAAAATTGGAACTGAAGTCTGCAGGAAGGCAACCCCCCAGGAGCAGGGCTGGCTACCCCAGAGCTAGGCTAATGTGATTGTAAAAAGGACATATTACTTTCGAGTGTTGCAAGTACATGAATGCAAATACTAAGCAAAGCAAGCTCAATTCCACATTTCAGTTTAAAATTCTAAGATTTGCAGCAAGGGGCACATTATAGTGAGCATTAGCAAATCTCTACACAGTTTTCTCTTTCAGGACAACCAACGTAATGACGTACCAGCAGTTTGAAGAGAATCTTGCTGTAGTTAAAGTGAGGTAAACTTTCGATATGTTTACCTCAATAATAACTCATCATTTTTAGCACAGTCAACTGAAGTTGCAGGAATGCTGGAGGAACCTATATTAGCATATAATTTTCTAGCATATGTCCAGAACCCTGACCACATAAATATACCAGTAGGACTATAATATTATCAGAAGCAGCACTGCTGTGATCTGTACACAAGCCAATGCAAGGTGGTGAGTCATAGATTGAATGAGGTACTTGTTGGCTCAGGACGTCACAAGGGAGCTAAAGTGGAGAATGCGGTCTTGTTTCCTCCATGCTAACCTTCCCCCCACCTCTACGTAGGCAGTGGGTTTGACCTCTGCTCCAACCAGCACTCTGTGAACATGAACAAGGCTTGCATTGAGACAAGACTGGCTCTCGTTTCCCACAGTCCAAACACATCCAGATCTCTCATCAGATTCCTTGCCTTTCTCGTTCCATCTATCTGTCTGACTGTCTGTCTCTGTGTTTGTACATAATTTAGCATTGCATTAGCCGAGACAAGCTGAGCTTGGCTTCTGGAAACCCTGCAAGGTGCATCAAAGGATTGTTTTAAAGATATGTCAGTAGGCTGATTGAGAAAGAAAGGTAGAGGACAACTTGCACTGTTAATCTAAGATCGTGTTTGTCCACTGCACTATGATATTAGCTGTTGAGGCTAATGGTCTCTCTCGCGATCCAACTGCCAAGAATCCCTGCTGTGTCAACACGCCAACCGTTTTGCCTCCGACGCCAACATCCCAAGCATAGACTGCCACCAGACTGGGCCCCTCGCCCCTCTTACAAATGAACTGGACTGGACCAGCCGACTCCAAACATCCCAAGGATCCATATCAACACTTGTTCGAGTCCTCCTGTTTGTTGTTTGAGTGGGCTCTTTACAACTAGAAGAAAGGAAGTGTCCACCAGATTAACACAACTTAAGTCCTAAATGAAGGACTCTTGGGGAGGGAACTCAGTATGATCAGGGTTGAAAACATATGCAAGCTGATTCATTGGGTTCGGTAACGTAAGGACAATGACATAACAACAACATTTTCTCAAGTCAACCCTTCAGGTTGCAATATGCAGGAATCCACCTTTAGATGGCAGAAATGGGTTCTTCTTCAATTGTGGTCTGTCAACAAGTACCTGGATCTTTTTACCTTTTGTTCAAAAAAGTCCTGAGGTTCATCAAGGGCGAAGCCTGATAAATCTCCCTAAATCCACTTTTGTAAGTTGGTCTGTAGGAGGAGAAGACGCCTGCCCAGCACAACAGAGAAAAACAGCTGACAAAACACCTCACCAAACAGAAAAAGTGAGTCATTGTGTAAACATTGTTCCACCTTTTGTATCACACAGTTAAATTACATTGAGTCCAGAGTTCTCAAGCACATATTTACCAATTGTGCTAGGTCAGTCTTTCATTCAATGACCATTATTTTATGAGACACTCAGAACTAAAGTTAGCCAAATATTGTACCTCTTTGAACTGTTTTCTTTGAGTTCTTTGGAGTGACTCTCCACAAGGAGGTGTCATAGCCATTTGAAACGACAAAAGTCACAACTGTACAAAAAGTGCAGGGTCAGTGCTCTACACCTGCTGATTAATCTGTTGCTCTTCTCCACCCGCTAGCAAAGGAACCCGCCCAAAGACGATTTCTGGTGCCACCACATGGAGCTGTTAAAACTGGAGCTCTGATAAAACAAGCACATTGTGGAGTAAGAAGCAAATGTGGCCTATTGTTTTTTTTCTTCTTTTGGCTTCACCTCCTCCATCTCTTACTTGAGTTACTAAGCAAACAGGCGTTTGAGCAAGAGGGATCAAGACACAATGAACTGCTTTAGCAGTGGAAGAATGAGAGGCTAAATACAGATTCAAATGAAGGATAATAGTGAGGAAAGGACAAGCCAAAACTAGCAGTATGAGCCAAACAGTATGATCCCTAACAATGGGGCGCAATTTACAATTATCACCATCTTTTACAGATACATGCCTTTGAATTTAATTTTAGCATCTCTATTAAGAATTATTTTCTGGGTTTTTAGCAATCTGCATCTGGTTTCACATAGATTTACATCCTCATACTTTACCAGACAATGTAAATGAAGGCCACAACAGCATTAATGGAAAAACTCAAATCACATGATTTGGTTTTTGCATGAACACGCAACACTTTTCCCATCAGCACAAACATCATGCTTTCACTAAGACACATCAATTGTCAATGCCATTAGCAGGCAATTTAAATGGAATTTCCATTTGTAATCTGATTTTTGAAAACAATGTGAAAATGGCTTGTGGACTCATGACTAATGCCTGGTAAAGACTATTAGTTTATAATAAATTATTTAAACCATAATTTCTTGACTAGACCTAATGTGCAAGCATGCTTTCGAGACAGACAACAGCTTAGGTACTGGCTAGCCAAAGTGCAATTGCTGCGTCGGCTGTTGCTAACATAAGTGTTTGCTAAACATGGTGACTTACTGTGACTTTTAAGAACCAGGTTTTGCACTTGTGATATCACTGTGAGATCATTTCATATCAGATACAAGACTCTGTGCCTACAACTTGATCTGTTGTGTATTTTTTCTGTGAAGGATTAGCATCAAAGTTAGCACTAACACACAGAAAAGCTGAAGGACATTCAGTTAAACTACCTAGAAATCAAACTTATATTCTATCTATGAAGAGCATGGGCTCTCAGAAAGACTACAAAAAAAAAGGGGTCATATGATGCGATTTCAATTTTTCCTTTCTCTTTGGAGTGTTACAAGCTCTTGGTGCATAAAGAAGATCTGTAAAGTTGCAAAGACTAAAGTCTCAAATCCAAAGAGATATTCTTTATAAAAGTTAAGAGTCAGCCAAGCCTTCCTAAAATGGCTCGTTCTAACACGCCCCCACATACCTACGTCACTATGTGGGAAGATTTGCATAACGCCGCCCAAATGTTCATGCAAAGAAAGAAGGCATAACTTTTATTCTCGCTGTAGTATTGTTGTTGCCGCCACCATGTCGTGAAGGCACTGTGTGATTCGTTGTGAAAGCGAAACTACTTTGTTTGGCCTTCGAAAAGAGGACGATATCTGCTTCATCATGCCTGGAGCTGATCCGTGCTGGTCGCTGAGGAAATACTACAACTTTGCGCTGTGGATCGCCGGATCGGCTTTCACCGTGGACGAAGCGGAGTCCAGCCCGGGGTCGTCACATGTGGTTGCCGCAAGCCCGTCGGACGCTCCTTCGTCGAATCCGCCGCCTCTGCTCACTCTAGCCCTCTGGCCGTTCCTCACTTTATCCCCCGGTCTCTGCTCACTCTAGGCCGTGTGTGACGCTGTGTTTTGTTGTGAAAGCGAAACTACTTTGAAGCCCGCAAAGCTGTTGTCGTTTCATCCTGACGGATGACAGCCGTGACAGCTATGTGGAATCCCGGAAAATAAACCGTGAAATGTTGACCAATGAGAGAACAGTTTACTCGCGCGTGACTTGTATTAACAAATTTGGTCCATTTAGAAACTTTACCGTGTGAAAGCGAACCGCACCAAGAATAAAAAGCAACATTGTAATAATTTTAATCCGTTTCGGAACAAAGCAATCGATCTACAGGTGTGAAAGCACCCTAAGACTACAATGCCGGCTGTTCTGACTCAAAGACAGGAAGTTCGGTTTTTTATATTTTATATATTTAAAGCGAGTTTTTTTGGGCAGTGTAGAGTAGGGCTTGTTGTTTGTCATTTCTCCAATCACAAATGCAGACGGTGCAGATGGTTTTATGTTTACGCGGCGCGATGCAACGCAACGCGTAAAAAGACAGTATAAGTCATTATAATCCATAATTATGTCCCCACTGGATGCAACGAATGCCTCGTTTATAATGGGTTTTCATGTTTTTGAATAATCGCTCTGGCCTGACAGGGCATCATCACAATATGGTATGGGGCGTAGCATTTCCGTCACACGCTTGAGGTATTCGGCCAATCACAACGCACTGGATAGCTGGCCAATCACAGCACACCTCGCTTTTTCAGACCGATGAGCTTTGTAAAAATCGACGCGTTTCAGAAAGGCGGGGCATAGAGGAGAAACAATAATGTACAGTATGTGGAAAATAATGTGTTTTTTGAACCTTAAACTGCATAAACATTTCATTACACCAAATACACAAAATAATGTTCTTTTTAGCAGCATCATATGACCCCTTTAAAGTACCACCATTATATAACACTATGTGAAAACATCATGATAATAACGTATTTTTTGGACATTACCATGCTATTCTTTGAAGTTCCTTACAGTACCATGATATATACGAATATGGAATCTAACTGTACCATGTTATATTTCAAAGTACCATAGTATTGCTACTTGATACATGAACCACGGTACTGTTACAGGACTTTTGTATGATTCTGACTGAAAAAATAAATCTCACACACAGCTTACAAAGGGGTTGACAAGTCTGAAGTTCCCACAATGCCTCACACATCTCCTGCCCCTCTGTTCTGGTTTGATGTATTATTCATGCGGCCTGGGTCCAGATGCATTGTATGGAAGGCGATGTGAAAAGGTGGGCTCGGTGCTGCAATATCACCCTTGCACACATTCAGAGGGATGCCAATGGAATGCTAAACAAACCTGGTTCCTGAATAATTGAGCCTTTCGGACCGCTCTGGCTCACCCTATTAGCATGTGTGCCTTCTGGACCCAATCTGTGCAGCCACAGAAATGGTTTCCACAGGTCACTCACGCCCTCTTGGCAGCCTGGTGTTATTTCAACAGCCCCTGCCATTCATTAGAAACACAATAAACCCTCTAGCATGTCACCTAAATTATTTACTGGCTCTAATTAATCCTCCAATCACAAGAGATTCCCCCAGATCTGCATGCCAGAAATTAATCCCCAATGCCAACATCTAATGAGGAAGCAAAGTGTGTTTTTCTGACGGGTGAACAGTAGCATTCACTGTTTGTACGTTCTGTAAGGACAACACAATACTGAGTGTTAAAGCAAAGTCAGCATCAACAGGCTTCAATGGTCAACTCATCTCCGTATAATTGGAAATTCCCCCGCTGCATATTTGCAGTCTGTCTGGAGTCCCCAAGCATGATAATAGGCACTTTATGAAACACATGCTAAGTAAATAAAGACAAAACACCAGACTCAACAGGCCCAGTGTACCGGTATTATTATCAGGTCATCGTAATCTTTGGCCTGAGAACTTTCAATTGGATTCTCGTTTAGACAGAACTGACCCAAAGGTCTGTTTGGGAATCTCTTGGGCAAACGCTCTAATCTTTAAGCTCGGACCACAGTCAGTGATCACTTTGTCACCGTGGCAGAACCTCAATCGTTCTGAGCTGACAATCTCCATGTTTGGAGGGTGGAAAAAAAAAACGTCTCCGGAATGGATTAGCTGCCATTTGGAGCGAGCATTCCTGAGGTTCTCCGCCGTGGTGTCTGGAAAGGGTGAAGCAGGTCAAAAGTTGGGTCGCATGAGTGGCCGGAGGGGGTGGAATGGCATGAAAATAAGTCTGCTGCTTGTTGACACTTAGAACGACAAGCTTAAGCCCTCGGCCTAAACCAGGATTCGGCTGAAAGCTAGTCATGCTTGTGTGGGAAAAAATGTTTCCGGTTGTTCACTGCGAAAGAAGTTACGCAGGCCACCAATGTACCTTTGCTCCTAAGGCAAGTTAAACAAGCCTATGCAGTTAAATACCAATATATTGCAATATTTTATTGTAGGTTTAACGGTTTCAGATCAAAACGTTACCTTTAAAAGCATTTGCTTTCTAAAGATGCATATCATGCAAAAGCACAACACAACACAAGGTTAGTCTACACCCAACTTATCAAAAGACCTTTTTAATTGCATTGTAAACTATACAGAATATGAAGTTGCTGATGGACTTACTAAGTGCCCTGGTGTTGGTGATCTGGAGTCTTTAAGGGCTGCCGTCCCGGGAACATCAAGAAGCGGCCATTTCATTTGCAGATACTGCAGGGGACAAAAGAGAACGTCACAAACAATCATCAACACATGCACCAGGTTTTCTACATGTCACTGCATAACCAGAAATACTTCTATTATACTTAAAAGTGCTCCATATGGATATAGTGATGTAGAAGTATGTGTCTTGACTAAACAAAAGTCACCAAAACCAGATTTTCCACCTTTAACAGACAGGTGGAAAGTCAAGTTTTCGATTTAAAGGAATACTCAAAGTTAAATAAATGTTTGCCACAGGAAATAATTCAGACTCATGTTAAGCACTTGGATGAAAATTTCATGAAGCTACAGTTGTTGACACAAGTATTTCTGTAGACCTGTACTTAACCTGGAATATTCATTTAAAATGGAAAGGAATGGAAGAAATCAATTAAATGGACCTCTGAGTCATCCACAGATTCCAGCAATCCAGCTGTTCTTTGTCTTAATTCATTTGAAAGCTGTGGAGATGAACTCCAAGTGCTGTTTAGCACCTGGGAGCATTAAGCTGGAACAGTTTGGGGGGCCGAGACAGGAGCAGTCAGGCCCAAGGGAGGGGGCGAAACGTGAAAGTTAAATATGATTTGGACTGCAGGTCCCAGCATAGTAAATGCCCAGCTGGATGGATAATATGTGTGTATGTTAGTATGAGGAACAGCTGGGAGGAAGTCCCATAATGCACTAGGAGAATAGGAAGGGGCCTTACAGAATGCATGGAGCAGTAACAGAGATCTGCCTTTCTCTAATTTTGCCCCTTTATAAATCAATGCAGAACGCAGAAGCAATGCTGTTAGGGTGAGCGTGGTATGCAATGAGAGAAGGAGCATGGAGGAGACACGCAGTGATGAATGACTGGACTTCCTATACAGGGGGAGACGTTTATTGTGAAAGCCCTCGTAGCTCAGTGCGCACATGTCAAAGTTTGATGCCTTTCAGCTTTTCTGGGGCCCCTCGCATCCAGCGCTTATGATTTTCAGGGGTAATTTATAAAATCTAGTTTTTTTTTATCCCTTCACGGAGCTTCCCCGCCTGGCTCAGTCATCTGGTTTGTGTAGAAGTCAAAGCGTATCAGATGTTCCTGTGGAGTCATTCCCGTATCTAAGCTCTTGAGTCTAGGGGCTGAAAGCATCTGCGGTTATAGTGAACATATATACCTCAAAAACTATTTTCAAACCAAATGTATAGTTCTACTTAAGGGACAACATAAATGTAGACAAATCCTTATACATCAATGTCCAAGCATATATACTACGGGTGGGCTATATGATTAAAATCGTATAATCATGGGAACAGAATATCAAGATAAGTGTATTTTTGCCTGAAATGCAATAAATAAAATAGTTTATATATTAAATAGCCATGCCTAAATGCCAATTTTTTAATAATCCAGTAAATTAAATACTTATATAACTGGATCTTTTTTAATATTTAAATGTAATGGATGCAAATCAAAAACTGATTATTCATTAGAAAAATACATTTGGCAACAACTGCTTCACAGTCAATGTATAAAAGTCAATGATATGCACACATAGTCGACACTAACTAACAATACCAAAATGGTGTAAACCCTTGTATAGGCACATGTTGTAAATTGTCCAACCCTGCAATACTAAAACAAAATCTCATCTTGCGCAACCCAAACATGTTCTAAAATCAAACTTCATGGCACATTTGGGGTTAATAAGGCTTTGTTTCTCCCTTTAAACTTCATTCATCACAAGCGGAATTGTTGTGAGGAAGTTTGGATAAGACTGTGGGCTAAAAATGGAAAAGACATTATGGTCCGGTGGACGGGGTTGCTGGGTTTGGTGGTGAGGAAAACAAAAGTAGTTTATGAGCAGGGACTGGTACAGTTTCCTTACAGCTGGCAGGATGAGCCGAGACCTTGTGCCGTTTATTAAAGCTGTTGGGTTCACTTTCACCTTCCGTTGTCTGCAGTAGAGTTGATAAACGGCAGTTGCAAGTAGGGCTGCACGATAAATCGCATGCGATATTTAATGCGCATCTTATCAGTAAAGCCGGTTCTGTAATCAGCTGTAAATCTCCATCACGTGCGTGCTTTCACATTGAGCAGCATTAACTACACAGAGCCGTTGTTCACTGACGAGCTGCGCAAAAAATTGCGCGAATATGAACATGGTTTTGCGCAGCTCGTAGTTAATGCTGCTCAATGTGAAAGCACGCACGTGATGGAGATTTACAGCTGATTACAGAACCGGCTTTACTGATAAGATGCGCGTTAAATATCGCATGCGATTTATCGTGCAGCCCTAGTTGCAAGTCAAAAATCTAATTTGGCCAGACAGTCAAAATTAATGTGCTTAAAGGGACAGTTCACCCAAACATGAACTCAGTTCACTCCAAACCAGTATGACTTACTTTCTTCTGTGGAACAAAGTTATTTTGACGAATGTTGAGGTCCAAGCAACATCTCAAAATATATTTTTTGTGTTCCACTGAAGAAAGCCAGTCATGCAGGTTTGATATGAGGGTGAGTAAATGATGACACTTTACATTTTCAGGTGAACTATCCCTTTAAGTCTGTGGTCGACTTTCAGAGGGCATCTGTGAATAGTTTTTGAGAGGAACCACTCTGAGGAACGTCTAGTTCTTGTCGGGGGCCTTACCCTGTTTCTGGTATTTGCAGCTGCAGTTAAAGTGGATGGATGACTGAAAAAATACAATCCACCTTCCTCATCATAACCGCCATCACCTGACTGAAAACTTAACATATTATCTTGAAATACAATCTGTTTTGCCTTCCCACACAAACTCACAGACTACCGGGCTGCAGGGACCTGTGTCCTGCTTTTCTGGAGACACAAAGGGAGATCGGCCAAAGTAAACAGTCTTGGGGTCTAGGGATTTGTATTTGAAAGCCATAACTCTAGGAGCAGACATTGACTTCATGTTGAGAAGAGAAAAGAAATGGTGCACAGACACGAAACCCTCAAAATGCATGTCAAATTTCAGCGACGACCTGCTAAGCAACAGTAAATCAATCAAAGCTTCACCAAGAAAATCAACAAAAACACAAACAAATATTATGTTATGAAAACCTAATCACAACCACAAAAAGGCAATGTTTTCTTTTTTTCTGCAAACTGAAAATATGTGGTCAACCAACCAGGGTTTTATACAGACTGACAGCAACATTTAGAGAACAAGGCGGCCGACACAATACAACTAAATTTAGAGCAAATTAGAATTTTAAAAAATTTTATTGCATTTTTAAATTGTATGTATATTTAAATGTACTTAATACTGACATTCACAAAAAAAAGAATGAAAGTAAAAACCGTTTATTCTTGATATTCACAATCTTAAAATGGCCAAATATCAATAATAAAATTGTATAAAATAAAATATTTGTTCTCAATACCAATAATCATAAAATGGCCAAATATCAGCAGATTAATCTGTCTGGATGAAATGAAATTACTCTCGATACCAATAATCTTAAAATGGCCAAATATTAGCATATTAATCTGGCTGATATTAAAATAAAATAAAATAAATATGGTGCATACTAAACATAAAAAATATACTGAATTATGAAAACAAATACCAAATTATAAAAAAATGGGTGTCACATCACCTTGGGCAGGCTGAGACAGAAGACATACTTCTAACCAGGTTCATGCGGTTTCATTTCATAAATACACCTGGAGTGCGTTTGTAGCTGTCTACCTGATGTCAAGAGGTCACAGAGAAAGATTGAAATGCTGCTTAAATGCTTTCCGCGCAGCTGAGCGAAGACGATGGGGATCTTTAACAAGATTATGACAACTTAAAACGTCACAAATATCAATCCTGACAGTCATATGCTAGAGGAAATGAAGCCCTCTGTCAAAACAAACAGAAGACGACACCTCTTTAAGGAGATATCTGGAAGCCTCAACATGTGTTGCTGCAACCGTAAGCTTCGTTCTGGATTTTAAAAAGATTTTAAACGCTGCACCTCAAACCGCAAGAGCTTCCACAAAATAGCACAACATTCTTGGGAAAAAGGGAAAGAAAAAACAAATCTGGAGTGGGGCGGAGCCAAGTAGGTTATGTCAATCATTCAAAGCATGGCCTACATTTCTCCCTGATGTTTCCACCCATTCCACACACACCCTCCACTAGAATGGAGCAGAAAGCTGGTGGCACACAAAGGAATCCATTACATCTCAGCATCAGAACAGTTAAGCCAGACAAAAGGCTCTGGATTACGTGCATGTATGCCTATGGGCAGTGCCCTGATGCGGCCAGAGGGGTCCGACATCACCTGACTCATTTATTTATGCGAGCGACACCTCTCGCTGCTCTTTTCACTGCCGCCAGAGGGAAAGACAATAGAGGCGGCGGTTTCCAGCCCTCCCTCACCACAGGTCGGCATTCAGGCCTATTGTTTGTTTAAGAACTGCGAGAGTTTCCGATAATTAAGTAAACAATTCATAGGCAATAGACACCCCTATCTGTGCTAATTAGAAATTAATTTGCGGGGAAAGGACAGGAATTCTCGACCGCCTCCAAATATGAACGACAGATCTAGATGGGACAACAAAAGATTCGAACAACAAAAACAAACAACATTAACAAGCAAAAAATGAAGTAATTATGAAGTCTGATTTAAGAGATTAAACTCCGAAGAAGAGGAGGAGAAGCTCATTAAAGCAGACTTATCTTATTATAGGAACAATAAGAAGTAGAAATTTAACCAACAAATCACCTATTCATCCAACGATCACATTAGGAAGTAATTCAACAAGTTTCTGGGAACTTTTAGGTACAAAGGATCAGCAGACGCAAATTTTGTTTCAGTAATTGGATCCAAACCTTATAAAACAGCTCTGTGCTTATGAAACAGCCACAGCATTACAGAAATTCCTCGAAACAAAATATTACTCATTTTAGGACAAAAAAAAAAGTCATATTATTGAGGATTAATAATATTAATCATTATTATTAAGGATGCACAATATAATTAGGCAATATAAGGGTTTATTGTATTGTTAAATAAGAGATGCATCTCTGATTTAAACTGGAAAAAAGATCTTAAATATTAA